AACTATGCCCCTGAAGGCCACAAAATTTCTCTCTTAATGAGGGAGAACAGGCAAGAGCTACTGACCACTGAACAGACATTTGAAGAAGCAGTTGTTCTGTAAAGTTCAGAATAAATGATGCTGCTTTAATACTCTCCACATAGCTATTCAAACGTTTCTAATCTTTGAGTATTTAAAAAACAATGCACAGATAATGTGGTTCTTTGTGAATTCACCATGTTGGCTTGTGCTGGTGCAGGAAGATGAAGACCCGAGCTCCAGCCCCGTATGGCAGTGTGTTGCCGTTCACCACTCTTCTACCTGAAGAGATGGAGGAGCAGAGACTTGGGGAAATTTGTTTCCACTTCCTTGTGATCACCTGTACTTGTGGAATGGGATGCATGCCCAGCATCCGTTTCTGCTTCTACTTCAACTTGGGTGCAATTCCTCTTGCATACGTGTAGTTACTCAGCTCTTCCCATCATTTTAGAGCCCTTGGCTTAAAAAGAACATACTATTTTTCAAGTATTTCACCTTTACTGGGATTTATCGTAGATGCTTGAATCAACTGCTGGTATAGATTAGGGTTTTTTATTTTCTTTTTTTGGATCACTGTTATGATCAAAATATTTTGTCTTTTAAATCTCCAAAAGTGTGGAAGGTACTCTTGAATAGGGACTCTAAGGATACCACAGTGCACGTGAAATTCTGTGCGAGCATCTTGCAGTTTAAATAGTTGTTTGAGGGCTACCAGTAAGAGGGATGCAAGAGTGGGCTGAGCTGCCAAGTCTTCTTTGAAGTTTAATTGTCTGTTTGCTAACAGAACACATAATCTTCCATTACAAATCTTATTTTATATGGTAATTGGCTCATTTGCTCTCTGGTTATCAATTTAACTTCTCTGCCACAAACATCTGTACTTGCATTGTGTTAATCTCTGTGAATGCTTAACATTGACATAGTTAAACTATAAAAGTGTATTTTAAAAGCATTTTTTAATTCATTAAGTGCAAAGTAATTGATAATAAAGTGAGCACTTCTCATATTATTATCCCTTGGTAGGCAGCTTGGCATTTGCTCCATAAGCCAAAAAGCAAAGTCACTTTGAAAAAATAAAGTGTTTCAAATTCTTAATCTCCTAAATAAATAATATCTGAGAGCAGGTAATAGGATATCTATTTCAACTTTAATTTTTGTGGCAAAAAACCCTTGAATCTTATGATTTAGTATTAATGGCTTGTGGATGATGCCTCAAGTTAAAGCAGTATCAGTTGCTAAAGGTATTTGTGTGCTTTCCAAATGTCTTCGTAAACAGTGTAAAAAAACAGAAGTAATCTCAGGACTTTGCTCTAATTGTGTTTCAGATGTGATGGTCCATCAGGTCCCTTGTGGTGCTTCTCCCTCCTTGTCCCTCTCTATCGTCCCTCCACCTTTCAGATTAGCGACGGTCATTCCCAAACTACTACTGTTCTTTCTTCTGTCGTTCCATTTTGGGTGTGCTTTTAAAAATCTACCTATTTTCTGCTAGGCAGCGTGGAAGTCTCTTACCCAGTAGGGGGATGTTGAGGAAAGTCTAAACTGCTGGCAGTATATTCCAAGAGGAAAATATGCAGAATACCACTAGAGACATCTGTCTCCAAGAATTTGTGATAGGATCCTCCCATCATATAGTCTGTGCTGGGCAGACGACGTGTCTATACTGTGGAGTAGTGACTTGCCCTTTCTGATGCTTCTGTTATGGAGGGAAGGTCTGCTGTCTCCTCTGTGATGTTTATGCTCATCATTTCCCAAATAAAAGGATGTCTGTATATGCTTTTGAAACGGGTAACTATTAAACACACAGAAGTAAATGGAAACTTGATAAAAATGTGGTTTAATTAACGGTAAATTGTATCATAATACTTCTTTTGTAAAGGCATTCTTGAACCCAGAGCAGCTATTTTTTGTGCTGAGCTGCTCCTGATTTTATTGAATTTCTCTTAAATATCCTGTTTCTCATCATTGAGTTTTACAGTGTATCTACTCAGTCCAGCAATTTGCATGTATTTTGAGGTCATCAGGTGAATTTTTTTGCACCAGTTTTGTGCTTTTGACGGTGAAAATTACTGGCTTGTGTTTACTAGGATTCCTGTGACAAGTTTAGTGTGTGGCTAAGGAATTAAGCGTTAGCCTGTAATGACCGTTATGAAAATAGGAGCATCATACATTCACGGAGAAACTAACTTTTCATGTTTCCAATTTTTATGTTCCCTTTTTTCAACTATGTAAGCATTTGAAGAATCGATGTGTATGTGTATGTGTGTGTCTGTATACATATGGAGAAAGAGATTGAAAGGAAATGAGAACATAAACTATTGATCAAGCAGACTGGAACAAAATTACTCATTAGTTAAAAATGGCTAATGATGAGAGAGCAATGATCTATCACAGGCTGACATCAGTATGATGCATCTAGAAAAGGGCAAATACAGTAGTAGAATAAATTGGGCAAGATATTTGCTCCAGTGATAACACTGTATTTATGCCATTTTTCAAGTCACTGGTGAGACATATCTGAAATTGCATGCAAATAATTGAAACTCTACAGGCTACAAAGATTAATTCAAACTAGAGCAAATACAGAGGGTCTGCGAGGAGGGTGTGGGTGACTTGTCACACCAGAACTAAGCAAACATGACTTGGTGAGCCTGCCAAATTAAAGGCTGGGACATGGGAAGGGAGTGAAGAAATAGTTCAGCTCACAATAAATAAAAATGCCGAGGATAAATGCAAGGGAGGATTAAAAATTTAAAGTAAAAGGCACAGTTTTCATAAAGAATATGTAATAGAAATTTGGTCACAAATTCAGAAGACAGTTTCAAATGTCAGAGTTATATATGGTTGTAACAACCATCTGATACAGATAGTAAGTACAAAAATATCTAAATCATTTTAAGGTGGAGTTCATGGCGTGTTTGGTAAATTTATGGAAAGATTCTATGAAATGGATGTCTGAAGTCATAGGCAAATGGACTCAGGCCCATGCAGATTTTTGCTCCTACGTAAGAGAGTTCAAGCACTGAATATATATGTACATGTTTATGTAGTTTCTGGTATAGTTTTACATAGATTTTATCTGAGAGTTAAGCCATCCTCTTACTCTATAAATAAATATTTCCATTTGTTAATGCTCTCTACTTTATAATCTGAAACTTGAGGGGTTTTTGGAAAGCTGCTTGCCTCCACCTATCTGTTTTTAAAAATATTAAATCCACCTACAAACACTTACAGTCATTCCACAGGAAGAAGGAAAGCATGATCTAGTATTCCTTATTCCCTAGCATGAAGTAAATCCCATTGATAGGTGAAGCGTGTAAAATGTTTGCCTAAACTCTGTAGCCCTCCCATATTGATTTTTTGATAAATATTAAAGGACAGAAGGCCGCTTTTGACTTTCCTGGAACTTGAACAATCAGACCTGACAACATAAGTAAGCAAATCGCCCTTTTGTCGGTGAGTGTAGTAAAACCAAACAAATAGGTGAATGTTCTTCATAAGAGATGATACTCAAATTGTATGTGCCTGCAAACGGCTGCTCCTTCTGCCACTAAGCTAAAGCAGCAGAGAGTCTTTGTACGCAGCTGGGGGCTTCTTAGTGGCACATTTGTTGACAGAAGATTTTTAATACGTCTGCGCATTAGACAGTGTGGGGATTGTATTACCAAAAAATTCTGCATCTCTGAATTTTTGTGAAATTTAAATATCTTTAATTAATCCTACTCTGAGTATATAGGACATTTAAAAAGGCAGCCAAGACCCAGAGATAACAACTTTGGTACATGTCTTAAATGAAGAACCTTTCTGTTTTACTGTGTTATACAATACACATCTTTGGTCATACGTATCTGTAATACTTTATCAGTATGATCCAAAGGGGGGTATGTGTAGTCCTGTACATAGTGGTTCTTGGGCTTCCACAAACCAGAGAAGGAAATCTTTGGATTAATACAGCACTGTCTACTTGATAAGCTGAATTTCTTCACAGAAAAACAAGACATTGGTACCCTAGGGAAAGTTTCATCTTAATTTTGTGTCCATTCATTTTAAAAAGTCTTTTTTATATAATTTTAGCTTTTGGTTACCTACTGGCTTCAAGTATTGAGTACAAAGAACTCTGTAAAATTTCTGTTGTATAAACCGCAGAGTTTTGTCTGGATAAACAAATTGTTGCTAATCATGATATACTCTTGTATAACGTAGCCTGACTGCACCTACCACTGTTCTGTGTTTTATGGAGCTCCAGAAGGACTTACTGGGCATCAAAGCAGCATAGATTACTGAAAAAGTTCTAGACAACTATTTTAATCATAGCCTGACTTTTTAATTTCTAATCTAACTTACTATCTTTCCATTTTACAAATTAATAAACTTTGCTGCAGGAGGGGGTGGTGGCTTTTGTCAAAGCTTTCATCGTCTTGCTGGGGAGCTTATCCCACGAGATTATTTGTGAAAGGGGTGTAAAACTGTTGCACAATTAAGCACTAAATGATTTGCTCAGATGAACTCTGAGTTGGTGAAGGAAGAGTGTGAATGATGTCTAAAAACCACTGCCTGCTGTGGTCTCTTTAGCATGCAGCAGCATGCCTACAGCAGATAAGAGACTGCAGCGTGTTCGTCAACCACGGAAATATTTCTTTCCAAATGGCATCTATGTGTCTTGATTTTAAAATACTTTTTAACTTTGCACTTTATATATCTTGGTTGGATTTGTTCTTTCATGTATTCTCAAGAGGTCATTTCAAATTAAAATGGCTGGCTGTTTAACTGGCCCAAATGTAATTTTGAAATAACACAGAGCTTGTATCAGCTTCTATCAAACCCTGATCTGAAAATTTCTGCCAACATTCCTACTGTTAGTGCTAGAGTCCCTGAAGCCATCTTTTAACGTGTTGAATCTTACCATAGCTTTTAGTACGGGCACAACTGATGTGTTTTTGTGAATGCTAACACCATCTTTTGTCTTTTTTCCATTTTATTTGAAGTTCCTCCTGAATTTCTGAAGCGGCCCGCAAATATTTATGCTCATGAATCTATGGACATTGTATTTGAGTGTGAAGTGACTGGAAAACCTACCCCAACTGTGAAATGGGTCAAGAATGGCGACATGGTGATCCCAAGTGACTATTTCAAAATTGTCGTAAGTATACTGCGCATTTTGCAGATTTTTAAGCTGTTGACCTGTCGCTGTTAGTCCTCTAACACACACGCATGGGAGCTACATTCTTCTATGGGACCAGCTTCCTATTTTTGTACTGTTGATGTGTGGGACCTGGAAGAGAAATGGTTTCTCAAAACCTTGAATACTTGGTAATTAAGTCATTTTACTGAACTACTAAGGCATGTTGCTTATATCGCATGAGTTGATTTCTTTGTGGCTTAGATTTTCCATGAGACACAGGTGCACACACAATGACAAAACGCACCTTGTTGGCTGAACCTGTTAAAGTGTGAGCTCGCCATGAACACTGACTGTGCTTTCTGCAGCCGTCTGTGATCAATGAAAATTACAATTTCAAGCAGGAATTTAAATGGAAATATAACTGAGTTGTGGATCAGGAGTTTTGGCACACCGATACTTCTAGTGGGAAATTTTAGATGTAGTGAAAGTCATTATTGAGACACAGTTGAGAACTTAATGGTTGTATAATTGGGTATACCTGAGGTTGTAGGATTGTAACAGTGAGCTATGTGGCTATATTCAGTGCTTAAAATATCGTAAAAATGGCTGTGGAAATGTTATGACCTGCCAGTGATATGTGATGCTAGAAAATGATAGCCATTAGTGAGAGCTTCTGCTGCTTTTTGATACCATATAATTTGAGGATTCAGTGCAAGAGAGATGAAATCTGATGGGAACTCCAAATATACTATTCCATGTTACTGTTCAGAAGTTTCTACTGCCATACTAATGTGCAATAATAACAGCATTGTTTTTGCAATTGCAGCCCATTTTTAAGTGTTGCATTTTTCCTCTACTCTTCAGAAAGAACATAATCTGCAAGTTTTGGGTCTGGTGAAATCAGATGAAGGATTCTATCAGTGCATTGCAGAAAATGATGTTGGAAATGCACAGGCTGGAGCCCAGCTGATAATACTTGACCTTGGTAAGATAAACCATGAGAGTAGAGTGCCAGAAGATGGGAAGGAACAATTTCAAGGGACCATTTCCAGATGATGTGTTATAGATATAACTCAGCTAGAGTAGGATGTTCTTTTTAAAATCGTATGTGTGGTTCAGTGTCATCTTCTGTACACTTAAAGTTACTGAGGAGAAATTAAGGAGATCTATAGGATTCACCAGGTATTATGGAAAATAGGTAGAAAATATTCAGTGCAATAATAAACCATAGTCAGAAATCTGAAATGCTGTTGCATGCTGTCAGATTTTTTAAAGAAATAACAGGATAGTCGAAATGAAAACAATCGCTGAAATTGCAAAAGTGAAAAATAAGCAATTATGGAGCACACCGCAACTGAAGTATTTTACACCAGATCATTCCAGTGCCAGAAGCCTTTTTTCCTGCTATTAGTTTAAAAAGTAGTAAACTTTGTCGTTTTTGCAAACTGCAACTGCAAATTTTTTTTTTGAGCTGCAGCTGCAGTTTAAGATAAATATTTGCTTTTGTGTTCTGGTCAGTGGAATTACTAACAGTGCTCGCCTTCTTGCAGTGTCCTGCATTGCATATTTTGGATGTTAAGAGAGAATAATTGCTGTTATGATTAAAGACCTACTGTCTTCCAGAAAAAAAGGTAGTACAAATGTGGTTGCTAAGGCATCATCTTGTTTTGCTTTTTCAGGTCACGCATTTTTAAAAATTAATTTCAAAGAGCACAAGGAAGCAAGCCAATAGTAAGAGGGATGAGGGGAGAGATGAATCAGACAAGAAAGTATTAATTTTGTACTTTTGGGAGCTTTTGTGTTGACTCTCTTTTTGGGGTCTTAAATTCTAATTTCTTTTTGATTTTAATGGAGAGGATTTGGGAGAAACAGTCTTATGTATGGTCAGAGGCATGATGTAACTTCACACTTGCAATTTTAGCAGGTGTGAATCTGCTAGACATGGTTTTGGTGTTCAACACACAGAGAGAAAACTGTTATGAGCGTGCCATAAAGAGAGAGATTTTCCGTTTCTTTTCTGATTGTTTTGTAGAGTGGTTGTGAGCTTGTAACTTCTTCTGAATTCTCGTTGGGATATGGGCATGTTTCATTGCTGGCTGAAGGCATGCGTGTACTTTCCACAACTGTTTGGGGAATGAGAGGTGCCCTCTACTGGATTCAGTAGCTTTAAGACTCTAGACCTGTGGGATTTCAGCCTCCGCGTACTGTTAGGCATCTGGATCCAGCAATGGCTTACTGTCATCAGGTTGCCAGAAAAACTATTAGAAGTAATTTTATTTCTGCTATACGCATGAATCACCTGAGTAGTTTCCAGATCTTTCAAGCGGAAGCATTATTCCATATTTTCCACATTTGAAAAATACTGAATAATTAATGTACTTGGGTTTTGAAGCCCTGCCCAAGCTTGTACTCTCACCCAGTTCCCAGTAGTGGTTTATAAATTACTATTACTGTTATTATTTTAGTTCCTGTGGTCTCGCTTTTCTTCCTTTCCCTCCCCCGTTGTTTGCCCAGTGGTTTCTCCTTCCTGTTCTGCTCTGGCAACCTGTCCTGTTACACTAAAGGACTTTGCCTTATAATTCTGTCCTTTTTCTTTTGCATGCTGCCAAAGGATTATGGATGCAGTGTTGATGGAGTCTTATTTCGGGTGTAAAGATGCACTCCCGAAGTCGTATCGTTCTGTTACATGGCCCGCAGTGTTTTTAACAATGCACCCCCTGCGTAACACTGATTAATTTTAGTTGTTGGTTTCCAACAGTAGAGATAACCACATGGTACATCACTGAAAGGACATTGTTGTTGTTGTTGAGTAGTGACATAACAAGTAGTGCAATTAGGAATGAATGTGCTGTGTCTTAGTAGTGATATATGAAAACTAGTATACACAGTTGAAGAAAATACAGATATTTGATATTTTAATACCTTCTCACAATATATGAACGGCAAAGAAGGAAACAATATTCAGGGAAAGAAGGTGAAGGTATCATATAGAGTAATTCTTTCATGACGGCTATGTTGGTATGACAAAAACACTAATTTGAGCAAAAGTATGTTGAACACTTCGATTAATAATTCAGAAAGCTTTTTTTTTTTTTTTTACATACCTGATGATGAGAAATACCTACTTTGCCAATTCGAAAAGTAATTTCAGTGAAAAAATGTCGATTAAATGTTCAAAGTTATTCCCAATTAGCAGTGTGTCCCTTCCCTTGCTGTTCTGTTTTCTCCTTCCTAAATGGAATTGGCAAACACCTGACTGTTTACTATTTCCCGTTAGCCTTTTTGCTTATCATATCAAAATGATCTTTAATAAATTAAATTTAAATTAGAAAGTAGAAGCCTGATTGAATTTCTCAGAGAGGCTGCACGCATTCTTTATGGGCCAGTGTTGCAGAAATGGACCGAGACTATTGTGTGGGCATCTATAAATGGACTATAGCATTGATTGTGGTATAATTGACAGCAAGGAAGGAGGTAGTTGGCTGCCATCAGAGTTGACTTTGAGTAGTTGGAAAAGGCAGAGTTAGTCAGACTTTGAGGGAGATATGCTGAGGAAGGTTAAATAGAAATAAACCCCTAAAACTGTTGGCACTTTGCATATAAGATCAGAACTTAGTTTTCTCTTCCATGTATCAGCTTGTTTCAGTCTAAACCCTTCATATGGAAATGGTCCAATGTGCTGGGTTTTGCTGCCTAGAACATTGCTGCTTTATCCATAGCATTATTGAAGTGTACTGTAGGAGTTTCTGAGTAGTCTGAAAGTAAAATGCCACATTGTATTTTCTTCAGTCTTCGAAGGTAGCGTAATTTTTGAATACAATAGGCGTAAAGTATACAATGTGACTATCCACTACAGCGAAAGAATTTCTGTATTTGGACATAGATTTCTGACTTTGCAGGAAGCAGTAGTTCAGTGCTGTACCTTGTCTTCTGCACAGTGACAGTTTTGGTGCGTGAATGTGAGTGAGCGTGTGTTGTGCGTGAGCGTATGTTGTGCGCAACCACACAGACCAGTATATATGCAGACTCTCATCTGCTAGAAGAAGCTTAATATAATTGTTGATCAGACAAGTTTCTTTTGGCTTGGTCTTTTTTGTATTTGGAGTGAATTCTGAAAAGCTTTCATTATATACAGAAGTTATTTGTGGAAAACATTAAAACAAAGAATTGACTGCTAAAAAAGTTAGGGTAATTTGAAGGCTTATTGGAGTGGCTTTTTATTTTCAAATTTTGTAATTCTCTGTTAAATTTGGAAAAGAAGACTGCACTTGGAAATGGATTGGCTGCACGTAGTCAACAACTTCTGCTTTTTTCTGGAGTATATAAAAGAATTGTGGCATTGAGAGAAGAGATTTTTAGGACAACTAATCATAATTGAGAAGATTGAAAGGGAGAGGAGAGGAGTTAGGGTTCAAGTAAATGGTCTGAGTTAAATACTCTTCTCCTACCAGTATCCCCTGCACATAACTTTGGGAATTCTGCAAGAGAGTTGAAAAGCATCCCATCTGCTTTCCAAATACTAGGAGATTTGGAACCGTGTCCCTGTTTTTCAGATAGTATCCTTCCCCTGGAGGCTTAAGTACCTTTGGGAATTTCACTGGCGTTGTGGCTCTGCTGCCTGGTCTGCCTTTTAGGGAGAATTTAAGAACTACGTAAAGAAAGGGAAGTACCTCAGTTACCACATTCCTCTGCACTTGCCCTCTGCCAGCGTTTGGCAGTCTTGATGCTCCCCTCTGTGCCTCATTGATTAGAAGATAGGTGGGGTTTTTCTTATATCCTGCAAATGCCACCACGGGGGCCTCCTGCATATCCCATTGAGAGGAAGGACCTTAGTCGTGCCTTGGGAATGACTTCCTCAGCAACCTCAAAATCTCTCCCCTCTCCTTTTTCATGGGTCAGCCTCTGACCATCTTAGTTACAGATCAGATATACTAGTATGTTCAATTATAACAAAGCTATTTCTTGTCAATGTTTTTACAGCATTATTTTGTGTGGTCTCTGAAGACCTCGGTAATGGATACATTTGGATTTTCTTTGTGGAGGTTAAATGCTAGTGACAAGTCTGAAAAATTCAGCCAGGACCTGTAACCTGGCCTTTTCCAGTGTATCTGGCATTGCTCAGAATTGCCATTTGGGGACTGAAAAAAGAACAGGTGGTAATAAGTAAAAGGAGGTGCCTTTGGGGGAGGGAGGCAGATGGTTCCCTGTCACCTCTGTGTGATAGGCACTTGACAAGTACTCAGGCACCAAAAAAAAAGGAGTGATTCTTGAATGCCATATAAAGAAAAATCATAGACTGTAAACAAATATGCCACGTTATTTAGAGAACAATTTCAAAACATTATTTGAGATGCACTGTATCACCTTCAAAATTCCAAAGTAAGTGTAGTTTACTGCGTGATTCTCGCACTTTTATACTACAAAAGTTAGTATTTGCCGTTCTGTGCCATACTTGTAAGTTGTATAGGAGTGAGGTTTTCAAGTGAATGAGTTGAATATGCTGCTGGTATCCAGTAATACAGCATGTCAAGATTTTTGTAGTGGAACTATCCATTACTTTAAACGTAAATTTTTCATTAAAAATAGTTTATACCCAAGCAAGGATATCCTACACGTGAATTAATATAACCAACATGAGAAACAAGGGGGAGGAATCAGAGGTCTGCATGTAATTGCAGAGCTGTGGGGCATTTAGGATTAGAGAGATGTCTTAGGATAGCCGCAGGGAATGGATACAGCCTCTTTCACAAGAACGAGGCAAGAAAAGGGTCGTGCTGTATGCAGAGGGGTGACTTGAATGCAGGTAGCTTTGCCTTGGAAGCAGCAAGGAGCCAGCTGAGAGCTTATGCCTAACACTCAGAGGATGGAAGGACAACATTGTCATGTGTGCCTGCTAGAGACCAACTAATCAAGGGGAAGAAATAGATTAAGCTTTCTTTACACAACTGGAGACTGCAGGCCCTGGTATTTATATGGCCTTTTTAA